GTGTGTGTGTGTGTGTGTGTGTGTGTGTGTGTGTGTGTGTGTGTGTGCGGTCAGGGACTGGGGCTCTCCTTGGTGATGTTCCCAACGGCTGGGAATAGCAGCAGTTTCAGAGTTTGATCATTAAGAAAAGAAGACAAGATACTTTAAGGGTACAGTATGAAATGAGAAATTATCAGCTCTTCCAAATTAATATGCAAATCTCTAAATCTTCTGAAGGCAGTTAAACCCAAGGCAAAAGGCAAAAACTCAAACACAGAGAGGGAAGAGGGTGTACTCTAATGGTCCACCCATTGAGTTTATAGTCATTCTGGTAGAAAGTTTCACTGTTCTCAGCTTTCTGGCTGATCATGAAAAATGATTTCATGATGACTTTAAGGGCTGTACTTGTCACAAAGGGGGGACCCATCTTTGGAAGTATATGCTTAGCGAAGAATCTATAAAAATTTCTACTGGAAGAAGAAAAGTCCTTCAAAGACCTTCTTGAAAATCAATGTACTTGGGTTAAGGACCTACAGGTACAGCAGATTTGTAAACTCAACTTCCCTTCTTCTCTGAATCTCAATACAGTTGTATTTTATCATGAGCCTGCCCCTATCTCAAGGATACAACACTATCTTCTTGGAGGCATACACCTTGCCCATGATGTCTCATTTTCTCCCATGTTGGACTTCCCATCGTGGCAGGGGCTAGACATTTGTCTAGATCAGAGATCCACAAAATTTCCTTTTGTGGGACTTTCCCATTTGCAATCAACTCTTCTTCAGCATCCACAATTTAAATTTTTTTTTTGCATTTAAGTAGGTTATACTATAAATCTGAGAGGCACTGTGACATGGTGGATAGAGAGCAAGTATCAGAGCCAGGTAGACCTAGGTTCAACCCTGGACAAGTTGCTTAACCTTTCAGAGTACCCTAGGAAACTCCAAGACTATAAATTGCAGAGAAAGCACTGACCTACATTGGTAGAGAGAGTTTCCTTACCTAAAAGTTCCTTATATCAGTATAATAACTGACTTAGACCCTTTCCTAGCCCCCTACTACAAAAAATGATTTTGAAATTAATGGTAATAGGCTATACAAAATTATCTTATTTCATCACAGATTTCCTCGAACATCTATGCTCTGTCTAGCATTGCAATACGTAGAGAGACAGGCCCTCTTGATTTCCCATTCAAAGCTAAATGAGATAATATTGTGATTGTGACTTCCCTGTTTTAGTTTTTTAACAATCGGGTCATCTTGCTCTGGAGCACACATTTGCATTTGGCTTCACTCTGTCCTAACATCAGCCTATTGTTCTGTAAGAGAGGTCTGGTCTGCTGCTATGAAATTAGTCATTTTCTAAACAAGCACCTCACTTGAAGAAAAAGGGTGGAGAGTTTTAGTACTGGAGAAAAGAATAACCAAATCCTATACACAGAGACTTGCTCTTCACACCAAGGGTAGATCCTTCAAGGCCCCATTCAATGACAACAGCACAGGCTGAATTGTGGTGAAGGCTTCAATGTGATGTGATCCAAGTTCATGTTCCCTTTGGTCACTCCTTATTCATCCATCAGCTTATACTTTTACTTAGACTGTTAGTCTACCATTCTGACCACTCAAAATACTTTTCATGGGAAATTATGAATACTTCTGGTTGGTAGATTTTTTTCTCATTAAATTCAGAATAATCTCACAAATACAAAACTCATTATCTCAAGGACTACCTTTCCATTTCCCCTCTGTTCCTCTAAGGATCAAGCACCTATATGGGTTCTGGGATCAATGAGAGCTTAGGAAAAAGAGCTAGGGGGCAGGTAGGTGGCACAGTGAATAGAGCAACTGCCCTGGAGACAAGAGGACCTGAGTTCAAATGTGGCGTGGCCTCAGACACTTACTAGCTATATAACTCTGAGCAAGTCGTTTAACCCTGATTGCCTCAAAAAAAAAAAAGAGAGAGAAAGAGAGCTGATCTGATTATCACTGTAGATAAAAAGGAAATTGAAATTCTGATAACTTTTTTCTGTGATTATTCCATCTCTACCATTTTTTAAACACTACATCCTACATATGTTCAGACTATGTATTTGTATCTAAGTATAGTTTCTTTCTGTTCTTGCAGCAAAAGATCTGCTACTTACATGGCAATGGTAGGTCCTATTCTGTCTCACTCTTTCACTTACCAGAACCATAAGAGCTGCCTTGGGAGGAGATAATAGATTCTTTCTCACTGGAGGTCTTCAATCAGACACTCAGTGTTGACTTGTGGGGTGTATTATAATGGGGATTCCTTTTGGAGCGTACATTGAGCTATTTTCTTAGAGGCACATGCCTTGGCTGTGATGTCTCATTTTCTCTCATACTGGACTTCCCATCATGGGAGGGGGGTCCCAAGGGCAGAGTCCAAGCTTAGGTGAGAGAAGGATGAGGAGGATGATCAAAGTGCAAGTGGTAGGACTTGGTATGATGGGCTCCATTAAATTCTCACACTGCTTTCTGGATTTTACCTGTCTGGACCCCATTGCCCGTCAGCCCAGGATATAAGCAAAAATTTCTTGAAAGGGCATTTTTTTTTGCTGAATATTTAAGTAGCTTCCTTTTTTTCAATTACATGCAATGTTGATATGAAAAACTTTGAACAGGTAGCTTTTTGATTGTTTTCTATAACATTGCGGACAACTATGATCAATACAGAAAAATATGCAAAGCAATTTATGAAATAATGGAGGGAAAAGGTAGAAACAGAAAATGAGAATATACTAATTTTAATCACATGAGGAAAAATGAAGGAGAATGAATGAGCATAGAATCCATTCAGATTAAGAGGGAGAGACTAAAGAAAGGTTAGAACACTGTGTTTTTTCTGGATGGAGCTCCTCATGAGGACACTTCCCTCTCAATGTAGAGAGGCAACTGTTGTAACAATTAAAGAATAACAGGAACACAGATTTAGACCTAGAAGGAGTCTTAGAAGTCATGGAGTCCAATCACCTTTTTAAAGTAAGTTTTTATTGATATCTTGTGTTTTTTACATCACTACAGTCATCCTAAGTATCCCTCTCCCTTCTCCTCCTAGACAGCCATCCCATTAACAAACTGTAGTTTTTAGAGGGAAAAAAAGTCAGCACCACTAATCAATACAGTGAAGAAGTCCAAAAATGTGTGCAATTTGTAATACCTGTGGACCTCCTACCTCCACAAAGCAGCAGGTTGGGATGGATGAGGGTGTTTTCTCATATCTGTTCATTCAAGTCCTGCTCGATCTTTATAACTTCATTCTGCTCACTTTTGATTTTTTTGATGTGTAATTCTTTCTATTGATATCATTGTAGTTACTGTGTCTATTGTTTTCTTGGCTACTTCACTCTGCATCAGTTCATATACATCTTTCTGTACTTCTCCGTATTAATCACATATATCATTTCTTTTGGCACAATAATATTCCATTCATGTACCACAATTAGTTTAGTCATTCCCAAGTTGATGGACATCTACTTTATTTCAAATTCTTTATTACCACAAAAAATTCTATGATAAATATTTTGGTGTCTATGGAAACTTTCTTCTTATCAATGACTTCCTTAGGCCAATCCCTTCTTTTTACAGATTAAAAAACTGAAGCACAGTGTTGGGCCCAGAATTCGATAGCTACTAAGTATTTGAGGTGGTATTTGAACCGAGGTCTTCCTGACTCTCAAGGTCAGTGTCCTATACACTGCCTCTTTAAGATTGCCTCTTTAAGACTTATAGAAATAAGGGGCAGCCAGGTGGCACAATGGATAGAGTACCAGCTCCAGAGTCAGGAGTACCTGAGTTCAAATTTGGCCTCAGACACCTGACACTTACTAACTCTGTGACCTTGGGCAGGTCACTTGACCCTGATTGCCCTGGGGAGAAAAAAAGACTTATAGAAATGCGTGGGACACTAAAAATTTAAATGACTGTCCCTTGGTCAAACAGCCAGAATGTGTAAATACACATAAGACCTTGAACCCAGGTCTTTCTGACTCCTAATCTGACCGTATATCTACTATGTCATATTTCATCTTTTAGGAGATATTATGCATTGAAATGAATTAATGTTAAAGTAATTGGGTTACATTGTCTGTATTAGGGCTCAATGTTATGTTTCTTTTAAAACATTTAACAAAAATGTGTACCCTATGGCTACTATGGTAAAAACCTTTGACTCAGTAAAGCTATGTTCCAAGACAATCATGAAACCCTGGGAGAAAAGTAAGAGAAGAGAAAGGAAGGCATCATCCATTCTCATTGTTAGTCACTCTTTTCTCAAAACTCTCACGCCATTCTTCCTAATACAAACCTACTCAAATCAACATTTATTAAGCAGAGCATCAGGGTAGGTCCTGAGAACAGTGCAAAGATAAATGACCCAACCCTGCCTTCAAGACACTTACAGTCTAAGCAACCATAATTCAAAATAATGCATTAAATGCATTGGAGAAGTACAAACACTGCTATGGGAGACCAGAGGGAGAAGTCATGAATTGGCATTGGAAGGCTCTGAACAAATTTCTTCTAAACTTCACTGGTTTAACCAAGATATTATTTGCCTCCTCGCCGTTTGTTTACTAGAACAGTTCTTTTCCATCTGAGGCCAGTGAATTCAGTTCAACTAAATTCAACAAACATTTATTAAACAACTGCTCTTGGCTCGGGCATTCTGCTAGGCACTAGAGTTACAAACAGTAGTGAAACTGTCCCTACCTTCAAGGAGCTTACAATCTATTATGGGGATAGCACATACACTATACCTGATTAAGTACATTAAGCAGCTAAATAGCACAGTGGACAGACAGCTGGACCTGGAGTCAGGAACACTTACATTCATATACTGTCTCAGACGCTTCCTGACAAAGTAACCCTTGGCAAGTTAATCCATCTGATTTGGTTTCTACACCTGTAAAGTGGGGATAATAATATACTTCCCTCCCTCCCACATGGGTTGAAAGGATACAATAAGATCATATTTGTAAAGCACTTTGCAAACCTGAAAGCACTATGCAAATGCTAGCTATTATTATTACAGAAACACCAAGTTAATACTTAAATTCCCTTTCTCTTGTTGTGTTTTTTCTCTTTTTCTCTCCTTCTTTGTTTAGGTTTTGGCACCCGCCCAGTTTGTCATCACAGTCCCAATAAAAGGACTACTTGGCTATAAAAAGAGCCAGAGCCGAAGATGGAGGTATTATTCCATGAGTGGCTCTAAGCTCTTCTCTCCTATTCGGGATCCTGAAAAAATGTACCAGTGGCTGGAGATAAATCAGTTTTTGAAGACTCTGCAGCAGTGGCATGAAAATGATGTGACAATGGATGGAGACATCATGCCAGCTAAGGTCATTGAAGTATTCCTGAAGCTGGTGGAAGACTCAGTTAAGGCGTGCAACCTCTCTAGTGAGTCTAGAAGCTTACAAAAGAAATTCATTGAATGTGATCTTAGAATTAGAGATTTTTGAGCTTCAGATAACCTTAGAGGTCATCTAGTACAATCCATTCATTTTATTGATGATAAAACTGAGGCTAAGAGAGGTTTAATTAGTAAGAGGGGATCAGTGGAGTGTAGTGGGCAGAGCCAGACTGTGATTCAGGAAGACTGGGTTTAGATCTCTTCTCAGACACTTATGAGCTGGGGGACCCTGGGTAAGTCACTTAACTCCTCTCAGTCCCAGTTTCCCCATCTATAGAATGGTAAAAATAACAGCAAGAATCTCACAGGGTTGTTGTGAAGCTCAAATAAGATAATAAATGTGAAGTGCTTTGTAAACAATGATGTGCAAAAAAAAAGTTAGCTATTAGTTAGGGTCCAAGTTCAAACAAGCAGTAACAGAGCCATGATTGGAATCTAGCTCCTCTCTGTCTCTTAATCTAGTGCTCTTTTTACTAAGATCTCTTGCTTATAAAAGATTCACTTTATTAGCTACAGAGAGCCATAGTGTTTCATTCCTTAAAAGTAATCATCTGTGAAATCATTCAACTTTCCCCCTAAACAGGATATAGTCTATGCAGCACTGTTTAGAAACATGGCATGTTAGAGCTAAAAGGGAATGAATGAATGAATGAATGAATGAAAAATATTTATTAAGCATTTCCTTTGTGCCAATCACTGTGCTGATTGTGCTAAAAATACAAATAAAAAAAAAAGACAGTCCCTGCACTTAGAGAACTTACATTTTAATCAGGTAGAGAAATAGTATCTAGAGAAGGGAGTCTTAATCTGGGGAGTCACAGAGATGGAGAGTTGAGCCAAAGCGTAATTAGTTGACCAGTCCTTTCTTGGAATCAGTGGTACTCTGAAATGATTACAGTGCCCAAAGCAAGAGATAGGAAGTGAGTAGACATGGTATATTCAAGAGTGGAGGCATATGGCAGGATGGTCTAGGTCAGGGATGGGGAACCTGTGGCCTTAAGGCTACATGATGGGTCGCACTTGAGGACCTAGAGGGTCACATGTGGCCTGAAGGCTGCAGGTTCCCTACCCTGGTCTAGGTAGAAATGGCTGGATGAGATATGAAGTTGAAATGCAGTTTGGTCCAACTAGATATAATGAGCTAAATGGGATTTTTTCCCCATTTAGTCACTGAAACCCAGGGTGAGAGTTTCAAAGATTCCACAAATGAATGGATGAGTTTCCCCAGGGACTTAGTACTTTAAACTTATTTTACAGATAAGGAAACCAAGGCCCAGATAAATTGTAGTTTTTAATAGGATCACACACTCTCCTGACTCCAAATCTGGTGCCCTTCCATTACTCTACACTTTTTGTGTCATGGGTGATAACAAAACTCAGAAGCTTAATCTATATCTATATCTATCTATGTATTTATAGTGTGTGTGTATTTGTGATGTGTATATAATAAAATAGCAAATCTCTGCCTAGGCTTTTAAAAGGAATCAAAACTTTTAGGTGGTATTATTCAATAATTTAATACTGTGTGTCATTCATATTAAGTTAATTGTGTGATAAGGATAAAGAATGTCTTTTTTACCACCTGGATTGATACAGGAATGCTTCCTTTTTATCCAATCCCTCTTATGCCATAGATGTTTCTATTGTCTTTTCGAGGTCTTGGTCTCTTATCCTACTCATAGAAAGATAAGGACAAATCTATTAAAAAACGAATCTTTCAGAGATTGGACTGGGGAGCCACATTTCGAAAAGAGTTGTAGCAAGTTGGAATGGTTTAGGAGACTCAAAACCATGTCC